TGGAGTGCACCTGTGGAGACAGCTCACCTGTTCACCCTATAAATGATTCTCTCTGTGTGTGTGTGTGTGTGTGTGTGTGTGTGTGTGTGTGTGTCTCACCATTGCTTTACACCACAGACACCTCCAGTCCTGCAGCCGCAGCACACTGCCGCACGTTTTATCACACACGGTGCACTTGGCCGACACCGGCAGGTTTCCCTCCAACCACTGATGAGGCATCGACACCTGAGCACAGAGGTCAAAGGTCAGAGGTGAGCCGTTCCCCGACTCGGAATTGACAGGACATCTGTGCTGTGTGTCTCACCCCGTCCTCGTCCTCAATGATGTCCTTCCCGATAGAAGCTAGCGTTGTCCATTTACAGTTGTTGGTGGCTCTGACTGCACACCGTTTGTGAGCCTTAAATTTACACACTGAAACACACACACAGGTCAAATTATCCTGCGGCTCATCTACAAACTGCAGAGCACAGCCCCTGAGCTGGAGCTGTCTGCTGATAGCATTCAGCCTCAAAAGCTTTGTTACAGGCCAATAAAGGAAAGCTGTATCTGAAGGATGCAGTCCGCCTGCATGCTGATTCACAGGATGCTGATTCACACCCACCTCCACGTGTACACAGGTGGAGGTGGGTGGAGCACACTCAGCTCGAAGTTTGTTGATCAGGAACACGCTGCTGCTCACAGACAGCACTCCTCACTGCCACAATAACAGCTCTTTGCTCTGCACCGTGTGTGTGTGTGTACTTGTGTACCTTCACAGGAGAGGCCGTGTGACGTGACCCCTGACAGAGCCTCCCTGCACACGTTGCAGTACGTGGGTCTGGCGTGGGAGCAGGCGTACCAGTTGTGCATCCCACTGAAGTGGTCCATGCTATACTGGGTGGACTGGGACACACACACACACACACACACACAGTGAGCAGGCTGTACAGAGACCAGTCTCTGTACACTGGGATGGCAGGGACGAGACTGACCTCATAATTCTGTCTGTTCTGGATGCTGCGCAGCGCCGTCATCCAATCCTCCATTTCCTTCCTGTTGTCTGCACAAAGGATGAGGCGCCGACAGGGCGTGATCACCTGAAACACACAGGTGCATACATCACGGTGCATTCACAGTCCACAGCCAGATGTAGGAGTTTCAGATGTCACACTTCAAACTTTAATTAACAAGATGTCAAATCATGAGGACACAGCTGGAAGCTTGAAGAGCTGCTGCCCTCATAACTCTGTGACTTCTTGATCAGCTGCTCTACAATGAAACTTCTGTTTCCTCAATGACAGAAACAGACCCAACCAAGAAACCATTATCAGGTATCCAGTGCTCACACACACACACACACACGCACGCACACACACACGCACGCACACACGCACACACACGCACACACACACAC